ACTGTCTCAACACATGACAACTTGAAAAATTTAAACTTGTTATAGCTAAATGTACTTTTATACCAAAAAATTACCATTGAGCGGCTGGAATTACGATAAACTTACAAAGAACAACGACAACTTAATAATGAAACGTTGCCGCAACTCGATGGAAACCTGGACAAGCCACGCAGGCAGGAATTTCCACAGCTGTAAAACAGTAGGTTGAAACTACCAATTTAAGGAATACAATGCGATGCAATCAAAAGCCAACCCACACATTCTGGCCCGTTTCAGACTCCAAATTAGTTTTCATATGTCGAAATTTCGATTCGAGTTCAGACCGAGTCAATTTAATAAAACCACGATAGCACATTTAGACATCAAATTGAATTAGCCGTCCGTGATACTGCCTGTATGCCTTGAGGAATAAATTTGTTAATGTAATTCAATTTAGCTTTGGCAATTCTTCTTATGGGTGAAAATTACAACTGTTTGATTTTTGACAGAAATGGCAAGACGCTATTGCAAGAGACATGGAAAAGTATTGCGGTGATTCATCGTGGTAGGTGACGGAGGCGACGTTGAAGTAAAAGAGTAAAATGCTTCAGTTGTGTATGTTAAGTTATCAAGAACTGACGATAAATGAACGATGCACTATCGAGTCCATGTTGACTGCGCTAGAGATCTGTAAAATCCTAGTCAAAATAAACTATTCAAACATGATATATTTTTTCTTCATATTCTGCGTCGCGCTCCCTCACATGTTCCTTTATAAATCATCTGTAAGTAAACTAATCGAGACTGATTTTCTTGACACATCTTGAAGTCTTCTGTGAAATGTATATTGCTTTACAGGGCAGAAGACGCCGACAGATACTGTTCTATCGACGATGACATATCATCCAAACGACGAAGTCGTGTCCAAACATTCCAACCGAGAGAACGACGGCCTGCGCCTCTTCAGGGGACTAGATGCCCTCATTCTTGTTCATTTTCCCCTCCTGATCTACGGCAAAAGCCACTGCCTCCCCCTCCTGATACATCGCAAAAGCCATTGCCTTCCCCTTCTGATATATCGCAAAAGCCATTGCCTCCCCCTCCAGAACAGGAGAAACCAAAATTTGCAAGAAGACCTACTTCTGATCCGAAGCCTGCAACACTGCCTCTCCCACCTGTGCCGCCTAGACAATCAAGCCCAGCAACAAGGGGGAGATTTCCAGGACTTTCATCAGATTCACCAGGTCTAACAACTCAGAGACATGAGGGCGTAATTAATCAACTTCAGAAAGCCGTGGTAAATCCTACAGGTAAAAGAGGTAACATATTCCTCTTACGTTGAAAGGAAAAGGCAAACTGGAAATTCGATAGCAATCTCTTTAACTCAAGGATTTTGCATGTAACTACGGCTATATTGCTTTTAAGGGATTCTAAGCATTAGTCTATTAGAAATCGGAGGTAAAAGAGGCTGCTTTACCTTTTTTCTTGTAAATAGGCTGATACTTTCCAAGCCAGTCATTTGCATCGCCCAACTCTTGCCATCCCCTTTTTCTTGGCGTATTTTCATGTGAAGCTAAATTTGGTAACCTTCTATGAGCGGGAGGAAGGCTATTTTTTTTTATTTAGTCTCCATGGGTGTTTTTGTTTGATCCTTTTAATAAAAGTATTTTTCAGTGTTGTTATGGATGTTACTCGGTTTGTTGGGGCCAGAAGGGAGGATGCAGTCTTTGTTTGTAATTATGCACCCAAGTAAAATTAAGTGTACATTAATTTTGTTACTGTTGCTGCGTACGCAGCGCCAAAAGATACTTAAAAATTCTTGACCCAGGCCCTTTAAACCTTTGTACTGACAAATAGTTCAGGAGAGAGCGAGTTTTCACTAATTCTAAAAAATTTTGCTTTTCAGGCTCAGCGTCCGCTTTACCATCCCCTCCTAAAGCTGGCCCAGCAGCTCTTCTCAAACCAATGAAGCTCGGAAGGTAAGCAAATGCAAAAAGAGATATCCAGGGTAAACTTCCTAATCGATGATATATGCATTGATGGTGTCTTTGTCTGTAACAGAGGTGACCCTGATGGACAAAGCTTTAAAGTCAAACACAAGGAGGTGAGTTTCTAAAATGTCATTTTGTGTTTTTAGATAGGCTTGTGTTTCCATAGGCACTCTGAACGAGCTGTTTGATCGGAAAAGTTAAACGAAAGTGCATGCTTGTAAAGATGAGAAATGAGCACGATTTAGCTCGCATTTATTAGGGTAAATATTTCGCTTTCTACGTTTATTTTCTGGTACTTTCATTTTCCATAATTAATTCAATGGTATGTTCTGTGCCGCGAAATAAAAATGCTCCCTAATACTACAAATCAAAATCTACTTTTTTAGAGCACAACGTTCAAAAGGCTAATATTATTTTGCAGTTAAACTTGATTTACATCACAAACAATGCATTAGAACTGAGTTTCTTATAGTTTATCGATGGTCGTCTTAATGGGTCTCATTTCTATCTTGTTAAGAAGTGGAACTCTCGATATTTTAACGATTTATTTCTTCCCCATTTTTTGTTAATTTACGAGTTCGTTTCATCTTTGATAACTGCGATCGTGCACAGACTAAACTTTTTACGGCTGGGCATATCTCATGATAAGAAAGCAAAATATCGACACCTGTAGCCTTATGACTTATTTTGTCTCGTTGAAGAAAGACATATGAGTAGAAGATTAGCTTTCGCTGTTGATCAAGAGCCCCCCGAACGTGAGAACTTCAATCCTTCAGTTCTATCTACTGTATCTAATAAACAGTCAAGAGATTTGGCTAAAAATTTAGCTCTAGCTGAACTTCCAAGTGTTACCTGAGTAACGAACTTGTAAAAGATGGGGGAGGTATTCTTTCTGTTAAGGATGTGAACTCCATCTGAAGCGAAAAGCCTCTCCTGGAGTGTATGTAATAGATTCCCTCTTTATGCATCGTTTAAGGATATAGCTTCCTCACTTGTAGGGAGTCTTTCCAACTTCAGCATTGCTACGTGACGTAGACAAGCCGGAGGCCAGTTCGTGAGTAAAATTCGCTTCTCTTTTTTTTATGTAGAGGTTCAAATTTTTGAGAACTGCTTGCGATAGTGATCTGAATTCACTTACAAGAAGCATCGTTTTTTGTTTTTCTTGTTCTTGCTGTAGCCTTCTTAAGAACAAACATGGCGTTTATATTCTGCGTAAAAGCCAAACTACACGGTCAAAGATGGTAAGAACATATATAATTCTTCAATATTTCTTTTGGTCTTCGTGTAAGCGCGACCTCCCCCCGCA